GAAGAACTTCCCTGTCTCAGCCTTCAATGGCCACAGCATAGACAGAACCAAAAAGGAAGGGGTAGAAATTGGAAAAAAATGAAAGCAATATGGAAAAGAAAGCAGAACACCATTTTGAATAGAATATTTGCTGTACAGTATAATTGCTAGTATTGGTCTTATATGAACTAAAAATGGTCCTGTAAATTTCTACCATGAGACAACTTTTACTTTATTTTCAGAGATGAGGGCTATATGATTTCAGTGAAGACCTCTGAAGTGCTTGCTAGAGAAAGTCAGAATTCAAATTCTGTCACTAGCTGTGTGATCATGGGCAATTTACTTAGCCTGTTACCTCATGTGTGAAATGGGCTAGTAACAGTGGCAGCTCAGTGCCAACTTCAGTGTCATGAAGATTTTAATGATTAGGGTGGAGTTTCAGCTTGATTGGTTTTGAGATTCACCCTGGGGATTAATGGAGCACATTGTTGGATGTGTCACAGAAGAGTGGGCTTGGGGTCTCAATCTCGTCCCTTATCTCTTCTACTCTGGCACTGTTTTCCTTGCTGTGCTTCCTAGTCATCATGGAATAACCAGCTTTCTCTGCCAGGCCCTTTTAGAAATGATGTTTCTGGGGCCCGGGGATTTAGCTCAGTGGTTCCGCCGCCTGCCTCGCAAGTGGAAGGACCCAAGTTTGATCCCTGGTACCAAAGAAAAAAGAATCTAATCTGTAGAAATGATGTTTCTGTCTTGGAGCCAGCCAGCCATGTACTGAATCTCCTGAATCCGTGAGCTAAATTAAATGTTTCCTCCTTTAAATTGTAGGTATTGTGTCTCAGCAATGGAAAAGCTAACTAATATAGAAAATTGATACTAGAGAAGTGGGGTCATTGCTCTGACCATATCTGATCGTGTGATTTAGAACTTTGGAACTGATTTGCAGGAGGAGTTTGGAAAGGTTTGGAGATGTGGTTAGAGAAGCCCTTGAATGCTTATGGGTGATTTTGGTCAAATCTCAGAAGATCAAAATGTTGATAGGAATGCAGACAGTAAAGGTCAGGCTCAGGAGGTTTTAGTTGGAAACAAGGGCTCTACTGGCAGTTGGTCTCTAAGGCCATGTACGTTAACTCTGGCAGAGAATTTTACCTACATTTTGCTCATGTTCTGAATCTTTGTAGGAGATTAAGGGAGCAGACTAATTAATCTGGCAAAAGAAATTTTAAGATGACCCAGCATTCAGCCTGTTGTATGGATATTGCATGCTGCTTTTAGTCAGATTTATAATAAGAATTACAGGCAAAAGACATCAGAAAATTTTGCAAAACTTAAATATTGGCCCAGAAGGAACCATATGTAAAGTTGGGGCCAAAGGAGGTGTGGCTGCTAAAGAGTTTAGTGCCATTAAAAAGAAAACAAGGACAAGAAGAAAGATACCTTGAAGGTATTTTAGGAATTAGCAAGGCCCCACCTGCAAGAGTATAAATGTAACAACCTTTCGTTTAAGAAGAGTCCGGGTGACTCATCCTTGAGAAAGACCTCCTAGGGAACTGGTTCTCTAGTATTTTTTACACCATGTTTAGCAATCCAGGCTCTCAAGGACTGCTGCAGCCATGGTCCAGATCGGAGGCCCCAGAAAGTTGGAGATGCCAGGCATGCAGAACATTTGTGGAGAAAAGCTACAGCCTGAGAGTAGAGCCAGTCCAAGAGAGAGGCTGTTTTAGTTACTCTTTCTTGTTTCTCAGACAAAATACTGGACACCCAAGGTTAAAGGAGGAAAGGTTTATTTGGCTTACAGTTTGTTAAGGTTTCAGATCATAGTTAACTGGCTCCAAGGCAGGGTGGCATGGCAGAGGGCCATCACAGAGAAGAAACAGTTTATGGCAGGCAGAAGGCAGCAAAGCAGCAAGCACTAAGCGACAAGTGACAAGCAGCAGCCCTCTTTCTTTCCCTTATATTTTATCCAGGTTATATATCCTTAGGGTGGGTAGTACTGACACCCAGGGAGGGCTTTCCCATTATCTAGTCCCCGAACTATGCCAAACCAATTAGTGAACTAATTTAGTAATCACACACCCTCGATTCCAGGAGCATACACTTAATCCCAGCATCACACACTCTAGATCCAGCCTCCTCTGAAAAGCTCCACCTATGACCACATGAGGCTTTTGGGGGACATCTACATAATAAGCCATAACAGAGGCTGTGTGGGCTGCAACCAGCAAGGCCACAGAGGTGGGGCCAACCCAGTTTCTATGGAACTTACTTCTAGCCACCATGTACCCTGGATGCTGCGCATGGATATCCATCACCACACATAGTTACTGGTTTTGTATGTGTGACAGAGATGAGAATTAGGATCTGTTTTCTTGGCAAATTTCAAATATCCAATACATTAATACTAATTATAGTCAATGTACTGTACGTTTAATCTTTGAACTTATTCAATTATGTAACTGAAATTTGTTACCTACTTATTTCCGCCAATCCCTAGGATACACCATATACTATTTCCGGCTCCTAAAAGTTCCTGTATGAGTCAGCTTTCTCCTGGCTGAGACATGATACTCAACACACACACACAACCTGAAGCAGGAGAGGTTTAGTGCGCTCAGTTTCAGTCCATAACTGGAGGCTCTAAAGCAGAAATTACATTCATGGACCGGGAAGCAGAACATGGAAGAGTGGCAGAGCAGAGGGGTGGAGAGATCAGACATAGACTTGGGAGATTCAAAGTAGAGGAGAGGAAGTATTCAAATTGATCCTCTTTAGATTAAGAAGAGAACTGTTACAATAATACAAATGGAGAAATCAGAATGATCAGTTTTGTAGAAAACAAGTTCTGTTTGAAACATATTAGACAATATTATTGTAAATGAAAATTTACAGGAAATAATTGAAAGAGGAGAGTGCTCCAAGCTTGAATGATAGTTCTTGGCAGGAACAACTGATGATATTTTTAAATGGAAGATTCTTTGTTTTCGTGCCCCTTTGTTTGTCAAAATATGTCATTTTACATACAGAGGGTTTTATGAACTAAATGCCAATCATATGGGTAACCTAAAATGACAGTGCTTTAAACTGAGGCATGATCTTACCTGTAAAGAAAAGGAAAAGCTTGTTGATAGTTTATTTCATAGATCAAAATATATGGCATAGTTAATAAAGTGAAAATGTTTAGTAATTTTGTTCTTTCTAGACAGGTTGTAAAATCCTTAAGGGTTGGGCAAGGTGATTGGAAACTCATTTGTTTTCCCCAGTGAGATGCGTGGTAAATGCAGTTGTTGAACTGGGTTTTAAAATGATCCATAGGCAAACCTGACAACCTACCATGTCCCTCTACCCTCAAGTTAGGCCTGTCTTTCTCCTCCCTTCCCCTTCCCCTTCCTCCCTTCTCTCTCTCTCTCTCTTTTTGCTTTGAGACAGGGTCTCACTATGTAGTTCAGGCTGGGCTTGAGCTCACTATGTATCCATGCTGGCCTCAAACTCCAAGCGATCTTGGTGCCGCAGCCTCCTGAGTGCTGGGATCACAGGTGTGCGCCACCACACCCAGCAGGCCTGTTTTCAGTAAGGGACTTTAGTTCAATTCCCAGCTTTGTTATAGTCCTTTGAGAGGCAAATTAAGATATTTGGCTAACTTGGGGATTGTTGTCTGAAAATTCAAAGTTAGAGTATGCCCCACATCCCAGACTCAGTTGGGCCCCTGGGAGACTCCCAGTATTAGATACGCCCTTAACTTGAGCTCTTTCCTCTAAACTGCTGTCTTTGTTGGAGTAGAATTACGAAACGGTACAAGAGGAGAGTTTTGGTGGCTCAGATAAGTTTTGTGTACTTCTGTCAAACTACAAATGTTAAAAAAAGGCTTTGGTTGCAGAGACTTTAATTTTGGATATGATCCTATATTTAGCCAAAAAGAAAAACTCTATGACTATCATTTAGCAGGTATGAAAATTAAAACGTTTTATTGGTCATTGTCTAAGCAAAACGATGTCATGTTCCCAGAGGGTAAGTTCTCTGGTGCATTTTCACTTTAGATTGTACCCACAATCATGCGATATTAGGTTTATGTACAATTTGATAGTTGTTCACTATTCAGCAGTGTAATTTTCATGTAATATAGTATAAGGGCTACTGAATAAAAACACATTATACAAGGAATTATTATTAAATATCTGTTGCATTTAAATACTTTTTCTTTTCTGAACTTTGGTTGATATTTATATTATTATAAAAGTCATTATTTAGAATCAATATTTTATTTCTGTTTCTAACATTCTATGGTATTGGTGTCAGTTAATTTAATGCATTAATTACAATGTCTATAGACATTTTTTGTTAGTTTAATATTTTAAAAAGCAGATTCAGATGTGTTTTCCACAAACACTTTACTCAAGCCTTTGGATTGTGTCACACACACAAAGAATACACAAATATATATATTCATTCACTTGGCAGAAACTTGCTGAGCTGCTATTCCAACCCCGCCCTGTGCTAAGAGCTAATGAGACAGCAGGAGACAATTCATGATTTAGGGTCACAGAAAACTTGCATTTTCACTACCTGGTACTAAATCAGTAACAATAATATTTTACCCTCACTTAGTAATTTTAATCCAATCCTTTATAAAAACAAATTAATACAAATTGTAGATTATTTCTAAAATTTTTTCTAGACGTTACAGAAGAAATTCTGTTCCAGAACGGAACTTAAGAACTTATTTAGTTTTTTCTTTTTAAAGAGCTCATTTCCTAGTAGATTTCAAAAAACAGACACCTGAGATTCCAAATTCGGGATTTGGCTTTCTTGGAAATTCACAGCACCAGCAAACTCACTGGCTGATTTGGCCCCTAGGAAAAGGTGTATATTGTATGAATTGATGAGAAATGTGTGAGACAGGTGATTTTAATTACCAGTGTTTCATAATCAATGCTTTTATAAATGTAAAACAGCTTACTTTAAAAAAAAAACCTGTCTGTATCCTTTATTTATGAGACTTATCTTTTATCTGTTGCTCACTTTTCCAGGTTTTAGGGAAAAAGCCAGAGCTTCGTGATGGAGACAGTGATGATGACGCCATAGCAGACATCAGTAACAGGAAGATGGCGAAGCTGTACATGGTGAGTTTACTGGGGCCAAGTTCTCTTTTCTGCAGGACTGGGTGTGGCTGCAGATGCCTGCATTGCTATTATTGATAACTCCTCGTTCCCTTCACAGAGAAATGTGTAGGTAGAATAAGCTCTTTTCTCCTGCACACTTGTTAAAATTATTCTTTTTATTACTTTGTGTTATTTTTACTGAAAACAACAAATAAATGCTGGCTGTGACTTACATAAAAATTGTTACTCTGTTAGTTTGCAGCCAGTATATTTTGACATATTTCAATCAATAAAATGTGTCCTTCATAGTATAAAACATTTTGTTAGCTTTTCCTTCTAAATTCTTGATAAGATTATAAGATCTTTGCTTTATTTAAAATATCTTCTTTAGCTATAATAAAGGCTTTCTTGGTTACAGAAGGGTGAAACTCTCAAATCAGTCAGCTGGAAGGAGACAGGATAAAACCAGCCCTGCCCTGGGTACTGGCTGGTGACCTTGGGCAACACAAGGCCATTCTAGGCCTTAATTTTCTTATCTGAAGAGAGAGGAGAGTATGAGTGGGCAGAGAGACAGAGAGGATACTAGATGATTACTCAAGTTCCTTCCAACCATATAATTTTATGATTTTATTGCTGGTTAGGGTAACATTTAAAGCCACAAGAGAAAGCTAAAATGAGATTCTTCAAGTCTTCCTTCCCCTTACGGCTTTCCAAGCAAGAGATATGGACTAGATAGTAATCTCCCTGAAGAATTTAGTAGTTTTCTCATCTGTAATGGGAAGGAGCTATATTTGTTGCACTTTCAAGGACTTTCTATCTCAGAAGTCAATGTCAAGTTACTAACTTGGGAAAATGGATTCTTCCTAAATGGCAAAAGAAAATATGGTTACTATTTATGAAAAATACAGAAATTCTTAATCTAAATACTTTGTGGTTTCATTACTTTCTCTAAAACCTCTTGTCAGTAGCCTAACGAATATCGTTTAATTCATATCATTCAAAACTGTTCTCCCTCGTGGACTAAAAAAAAAATTTTCAATGGGAAATGTTAGTCCTTTATCATGGCGCCCTCTAGTGGAACTCTAGCATGTTAGACGCATCTAAAATAAGTGAAAATAATTTGGTGCTCCTGAAAACGACTGGGAAGCAGAACTCCTTAGGAGCACTTTCTAAAAATACAGAAGTCAACGTCCACCGCTGATTTGGGGAGTGGCCCGGGATTAACCGGTGCCCAGGGCACGACTTTGCAGCCAACGTCGTGGAAGCTCATATGTGGCACATGGATACATCTTTCCACTTTGTAAGACCCACTTGCAAATTTAAAAAATCCTACTTCCAAATATGAAAGAAGAAATTTACTGGTGATAACTTTTGCAAAATATAATTAAGTTGCGGGACGTGTATGGACAAAAATCTATTAGCATAGACCAGACAGAAGCAATGCTTCCCCAGCACAGTGGCTGTCCCATAATAGGCACTCTGTGGCCTGAAGGAGCGTTTTGTAAACTTCAGCTTTTGGTGTGTCCAGTGAGTGTAGGATCATTATTTACTTAAAAAGATTGCTCTAAAATTTAAAAGGAATCATGTGAAATCCATCACACGGTGCTTACCACGTATGAGCATCTCAATAAACCTTTGGCATTGTTATTATCGTCTTGTTTTCAGATGTGTTAATCTCGGTATTAAATCTTTTTATTAGTAGTTCTTTTACCCCCAAAGTAACTTTCTTGAGATATAATGGACTGGTACCTTGATTTACAAACTTGATTTTTTCTGCAGTGTTGAGGAAGACAGCCCTGGTCTTGTTCATCACCTGTTGTGGAGTTTGCCAATGGAAGCAAAATTTTGCCAAATCTTTCTGGTTCCAAACTGAATTGTTTGGGAACAGAAGTGTTTGTGAACCGAGGCATTACTGTACACGTACCATAAAGTTGTGTATACATATCATAAAGCTTTTCAAGGGTGCAGTTCAATTTTATTACATTTAGAGTGCTGTGTAACCACCAGGGTAATACAGTTTTAGAAGACTTGTGTCCTCCCAAAATGTAACCATAGTGCTCATGTTTTTTATGGTAGGTTTCAGATGCAAGTGGCTCCATGAAAGTGACGGTGGTGGCTGAAGAAAATCCCTTCACAATGGCAATGCTGCTTTCTGAAGAATGCTTTATTTTGGACCATGGTGCTGCAAAACAAATTTTTGTATGGAAAGGTAAAAGATGCCATTGATGTTGCTGCATTTAAGATTTATAGATATTTCCTTGGGAGGGTAAAGAAAACATTTTTTACAAACCTCTTTGGAGACATGATCTGTAAAAATCTCACCTAAAATGCAGCCATATTTCCTTTACTAACCTCATTTAGCAAGGCTTAGGAAGTTAAAGCATTTGGGCAATGGAAAAAGAATCTTTTTGTAATTACTGTGTTATTAAGTATTTTTAATGTTCTGGGAAATATTTGCCATTCTCACATTGGTTTACCAAAATTGAATTATAATTATGTTTATTTTGTATGCAAGTGTTTCTTAATCATGTAATTTCTTTGCTTTCTGGAACCTTGTCATTCTTTAATTTATCTTTTACTTTAGGTAAAGATGCTAATCCCGAAGAGAGGAAGGCTGCAATGAAGACAGCAGAAGAATTTCTACAGCAAATGAATTACTCCACCAATACTCAAGTATGTGTGAAAATGCATTGGCTAGAAAAAAAAGTCAGAAACATGGGAGTTACGACATTCTCTTAAAACTCATGAAAGTTTGCTTCTGAGTAATGTGTATGTGTGGGGTCATCTCCACTTGAGTGTGTGCAGTACTGCGTTGTGTGTTCCTAGTATTCGTTTGCGTGGGATGCAATTTTGCAAAAACTCGAGATCAGACTTGTTAGGGCTGCATAATGAGAAGAACCCTGCTCACTTCTGCCACAGCCTTTAATTCATGATAATCAACCACAGTCGACTGAACTAGGACCGCTTACCTACTCCTTAGTGCAAGTTGTATAAATGGGCTGGTACCAAGATAATATTTGTCTTCATTGAGATTAACTTAGACATTGGTCAGTAACTCTTTTCCTGTCTGAATTTCTCAGCCTCAACTATGCTGTTCATCCTTGTATCATGGGTCAAGTAACACTGTGAGATAATTTCTTCCAGGTCACAAATCTCTTAGGAACCTGACATTGGAAGACACAGTGGTAACACATGGAAGTTTATTCTTGTCTCAAACATTCAGATTTCAGTGGCAGTTACTTTAGTTGTGAGGAAAAGCAGGGCTGGGCTATTATAGCTTCACAAGCTTCAAAATGTATATCTGTAACCACAGAAACCAGGACAGTATTTTTATTTTCTTACTTCTCTCTCCAATACTAGAGTAACATTTTTCCTTGATCTCTTATTTTCTTGGTTATCATTATTGTTTTAAATTTCAGATTCAGGTTCTTCCAGAAGGAGGTGAGACACCAATCTTCAAACAGTTTTTTAAAGACTGGAAAGATAAAGATCAGAGTGATGGCTTTGGGAAAGTTTATGTCACAGAGAAAGTGGCTCGAATAAAACAAATTCCATTTGATGCCTCAAAGTTACACAGTTTTCCGGAGATGGCAGCCCAGCACAATATGGTGGATGATGGTTCTGGCAAAGTGGAGGTATTTTTATATGTATATATACACACTTGTTTTTGTTTGTTTTTATCAAGCCTGTTTATGCCAGTCTGTGTGATAATATAATTTCTGGAAACTGCAGACATTTTGAAATGTAAATTTTATGTAGTAATAGAGATGGTAATAAAGATAGGTCCAGCGCTGTATCCCAAATTATGGAAGTTAAGGCTGAAAGAGATGCTGTCTGAACTTCACTGCCAACTTCACAAATTTGTATGTTGAGACTCCAAGAAGTTAGGTGGTTTGTTCAAGGTTTCCTAATTACCATCTTAGAGAGCTGTGGTGGAAGGCAGCCATCTTGCTTTGGGTCCAGAACAGCTTTTCTGGCAGAGAGCCTGTGGTGAGGGTTGTCCAGTGGACGTGTTGCTCTGAAGGAACTAACTGCCACCAGTTTTTCCTTCCCCCACACATTGCAGGCAATCATGAAAGCAAATTGAGCATGTCTATTATTATTATTATTGTTTCTGGTACCGGGGATCGAACTCAGGACCCTGCGCTTGCAAGGCAGCCTGCGGAACTACTGAGCCAAACCCCTGACCCAAGCGTGTATATTATTAAAACCAGATAGTTTTAGAGCATTCAAGTTAAGTTTGTTGGTTATTCCATTTTAGATGTTTTAAATTGCTAACAGTTTCCTTCTCATTCTGCTTAACTCAATTCTCTTCACTTTCAGTACACTCTAGTTGGCTAATTTAATGAGAGCTGGGTAAGGTTACTTCCCATCCTATAAAATATGTTCATAGTTTTTCTAAGTCTCCTGAAAGGACCCATCCTCATTTGGGCCTTCAAGGCCTTTGTGATTTGACCCTTGCTCCTCCTTGGTTCACTTGTCAGGACTTGAGGGCTGACTCTTCCCTCACCTTCTGGCTGGTTTTCCCATTCCTCCCTCAATTATCTAACAGTCTCACTTTCTGTGGCAACTCAGTCAAGTCATAGGCTGCACCTCTCTGAGAAGCTTTCCCTAGGGCTTCTTGGCGTTCAGTTTATAAGTGATATTTTTCATAGGATTTATTATATAAGTATCATAGAATTGTTTATTTATTTAGACATTTCTCCTAGGCATCTCACTAGTTCCTTGAGAACAGGAGTTAAAATATTTCATCTCTTCATTCCTAGGGGCTACCACAGTGCTTGCCAAACTATATTATCAAGAAATTTGGGGGGGTAATTTTTCCTCTTTCAAAGACATAACATGTGAATGTAAGGTGCACAGGAATAGTGGAGTGGGAAATGAAAAGGGACAAGTAACGAATGTTCCTCATGGCCATCATCAAAGAATTCTCAGCTTCTGGGCCTGGGTCCATCTCCAGCTTGGACATCCTTTCTGGAGCTCAACACAGGCACCACAGCCACAGGGACTTGGGGCAACCATGGCTCCTCCACACTGGCTGGATCCCAGGTGTGATCTCCTTTTCAGGCCACAAGATGGCCTCTTGTGCTTCCCGGTGGCAGCTGAAACCGGGGAAGTCTCTTAGGCTCCTGGTTTAGGAAGGCCGTGCTCTGTCTCCTCTGCTGGCCAGATGGCAAGCCGAGGCTTCTCTCTGAACATCCAGCATGGCTCCTCTTCACCTCACCTCCGCATTTCCAAGCCGAGTGCTGCCCTGCCCTTCCCCAGGACCCAGGCAGGGTGTGTGCTGGTCATTCTGCTGTTTCTACAACTCTCATCTCTCCAACTTGGGGTGTCTTTCATTTGTGCTGAAGACGAGGAAGCAGAATAAAGTACTTTTCAGTTTTAGGACTAGATAGTGCTTTTTAGAAATAGAAGTCATGTTATTGACATCTGTTTGGGCTGCTGTGACAAAAAAATACCATGGACTGGACTGGGAGTTTAAACAGTAAATATTTACTTCTCACAGGTCCGGAGGTTGGGGAGTCTAAAGTTAAGGTTTTGATAGATTCAGCATTGGGTCCTGGTTGCTTCCTGTTTCATGGACAGCCGTGTTTTTTGCTGTGTCCTCATGAGATGGAGAAGCTGCTGGAGAACTCTCTGGGGTTTCTTTTATAAAGGTGTTGATTCTGTGCCTTGTGATTGATACAGTGAATAATTTTAAAGAAATTGCTAGAGTAGTTCTCCAAAATACACCACATACTCACTCATAGGACATATTTAGGTAAGTGCAAAGGAAATGAAGTTATCCCCTGTATATTATCAGACCATAGTGCAAAGAAATTGGAGATCAATAGCAAAAGAAATCTCAAAAACTTCATAAACACATGGAAATTGAACAACACACTTCTGAATAACCAATGGGTCACAGAAGAAATTAAAGAAGAAATCAGACAGTTCCTTCAATTAAATGACAATGACAATACAACATTTGGAATCTATGGGAC